CTTTTGCAGACCTGCTCATTCTACCTTTGTAATTTTTTTCAACCTTTCACTTTTCTTTCTTCCCATTACTTCATTTTTTCCCCCTACTACTGTAAAAACCCAACTGGTCTCTTCTTTCTCTGGGCCTTATGGCCCATTCTTCCAACTGGCCTATATAATATTGGCAGTTTAATTACATTGAAGCACACCCTTTGCTCAAAACAAACAAACAAATAAAAAAAAACCTTCATTGGCTCCCCAATGACTATACCATTACCATTAAGTCCAAAATCTGTAGATATCAAGGTTCCTTATGATCTGAACCTGGTCTACCTTTCCAAATTCATTCACCCATATTCCTATTTATCCAACCAAAGCTTTAATCACATCCAATTATTGATTGCCTAAATACCTTCATGCATGTTGTTTCCTCCATCCAAAATGCCTTTCAGTCCTAGATATACATAGATAAGTCTTACTTCTTCCTTCAATATCCAGCTCAAATGATAATTAATCTGTAAAATACACTTCTGCCAAAGAGATCAGGTAATTTCGCCTTCCTCACCTCTTTAAATTTTAATTTCTTTTAGGGAACATTATTTTTACTTTGTATACCAGTTGTATATTTCTCCTACTAGCTGGCAAACTCTTTGATTTACCTTTTCATTTGCCATATTCATAATCATATGACAGCATAAATATTTGTTTTTAAAGAATTCTTAATATCATTAAGGGAAGATTTATAAGCTGGAGATGAATTTGGGAAATGGGTAAGTTATAAGGATAAAGCTAGTAATCCTCTGTAACTTAAAACTTCAACTTATTGTAAGGAAAAAAATATGGGCATTTTCCAGTTCATGCAGAGATGATGGCAGTCATTTTGAAAAAAACTGATAATACTTGATTCAATTTCTTAAAACTTTTATGTACTAACATTTTGCTAAACTTTTTTATTAAGAAAATGTAAGTGAAAAAAAATTTATTGTTTAAAGATTTAACTAAAAATTTATTTCCATCAAGATTAAACTCCAGAAAAGTCAGCTTCTACATACATGTTAGCTTATACACATTTGCAGTTTCCCTTGGGCATAGTGCCACCTACAGTTGGCAAATGCAAACCACTTGGTTCTCAAAAATTTGGTAAATGCAATAGAACAGCCACTCTGGCATCATCCATGCATTCCTTTTATATAATATTCACACAAATTCCTCTTACTCACAATCACCCATAAATCAAAATTTAAGTAATACAGTAAGCTTACCCCAACTGAAGACTTAGATATTGAAAGCCTGACTTTTCACAGATAGGATGTTCTAGGATGTTTTCTTAAAATAGGAACAAAAGACCATCTTGACCGCATTCTTTGTTTTCTACTATCTAGTTCTTCTTCAGGGCTACCCCTACCAATCTTCTATGAATTTACTCTAATGAAAACACCTTTCTCCACCCTGGCTCTCTTTGACCAACCTTTAAAAATGTCCAAATCTCTGATTCAAAAACTCAAACATAATGAAAAAGTCTCCCCCTCTTACCAAAAAAACCCCTACCATCCCCCCCACAAAAAAAACCCAAAAAACAAAACAAAACCCCCAAAACAAAAATAAAAACTATCTTCCCGTTAAAGCCACAGCTATCTTCTCCACCAACAAACTTCTTGAAAGAGTCGTTTACATTCAGATTCCATTACTTCTCAACTTACAAAAATCTGGCTTCTACCCCAATCACAATGACCACTAAAAAACCTTTTGCAAAAACAAAAAATCTCACACTGCTAATTTTGAACCTCTCTCCTCACTCTTCATCTTACTTTAATGCACTCCAATATACTCTTGTGGTACTTTTATACCTTTGTGATTTGATGACATCATCTTTTAACTTTTTTTCTATTTTTACTGTGGAAGTTTTATTTCCTAGAATTTTGCCCTTGACCTTTCTCTTCCTGCTCTATACATCTTCCTAGGTGTTTTCATTCATTGTCCGTTCAAGTAGTTTCTATATACCAGTGATTCCTAAATTACAGTTCTCATTATACCATGTTAGTTCTAAAAATCTATTTATAGTTGCATATTTCTAATTAGATACTCTAGTACCTCAAACATGTCCAAAGTGAGCACTGCCACTTAATGGCACTCCAACTACTGGATGCCTTGGCGAGACATTCATCCTAACAAAGCCTATCAACTGCACCACAAAAATATTTTTCTAATTTATCCACATCCTTTCCATACTTACTGCCTTATTTACGGTCCTCGTAATTTCCTTCCTAGACTACAGCACTCAGCTTCCTTACTTGATCCCAACTACACCAGAGCATCTTCATCTTAATTTGCCCCTTCATAGTTAAGCAGTAATAACTTCCTAATATAAAATCTAATTTTGTTATGCTCCTGTTTGAAGCTACTTGTATACAAAATAAAAACCCAAATGGAACACCTGTGTTCAAGGTAATGATTGACCTAAAATTACGACATCTTCAGTTATCCTCCTGCATAATTTGAAAACCTTTTCCCAAAAAGGACAGATGTCAATATTTCATACTCTGGATCTTCATTTAGTTTTATTCTTGGGACGCCCTCCAGTGTTACTTTGCGAAGAGCTAAAACTTGAGTTAAATACAATATGGAATACTCTAACACAGAACAGTGCGGAACTATCAATGGAAGCAATAAAGGAGGACCAAAATGTCTCCGTTCCTCCTCATCTGTGCTATAGTAAAACGATTTAGAAATCTCTTCTGCTTTGGAGAAACCCCTGTCCTTGGAAGGCCAAATACAAACCAGTGAGCAGCCTAGACGGAAGGAGAAATGGATAAGGAATATTCACACCTGTCTCTGGGCTAGACCTGAATAGTACTGCAAGATTCAGGTACTCCTAGGCTTGGCTCATCAGTATCAGAGAATTATCCTTTGTGCCATAGAGCAGCAGGAGAATCAGGATGAGATAGGCAATACCTTCACTTCTGACCAGACTAACAGACAGGATATTTAGTCAAATGAATCAAACAATATAAAAATTTAGCCAGATTTGGAAGATGTTTTGTAAATGGGAACCACTGCCAGGAAAGTATTTCTAGCCCATGTTTCATTAGCTGTAAACTATTTCTCATGTATGTAACTTAATTTCTCTACCTATAAAATCTCTACCTTTTCCATATTCCATCCAACATTTCCAACTCAAATAAGCATGGAAATCTGCTCAGAACTTAGGAGTATGGACTCTGGCAGTGAAAGTTTTTCAAATATGGCCTATGCCAATTATATATCCTACCTGAACATAAGTTGAGTGTGAACTGCACATATAAATTTTCTTATTCAAATGTAATGGATGGGAAGTTATGAGAGGGTGACAAACCATGAGAGACTCTTAACTACAGGAAACAAACAGGGTTGCTGGAGGGGAGGTAGGTGGAGGGATGGGGTAATTGGATAATGGATATTAAGGAGGGCACATGATGTGATGAGCACTGGGTGTTACATGCAACTGATGAATTATCTCAAACTAATGATATGTTGGCCAATTGAATTTAAATAAAATTTTTTAAAAAAACAAATGTATTGAGTACCTTTTAGGTATAAAGCAGATAATTTCTAACAATGTGCTTCAGTGATTATTTCTAACCTGGAATTTATTAGTTATTTACCAGGTAGTTTTTTACCTGAGGGAGGCAGATTTTGTAAAGGTGAAATGTTTTTCACACTCTGTAAATTTTCTACTTCTTGATGATTAAATGCTAACTGGTGGTGATTCGGTGGTGTTTCACATGAGTATGAAGTCTGACAAACAAGTGTAGTTTTTGCAGATGCTTTATCTTGCGCAGAAGATGGTATCTGTTAAGACAAAGATAAAATTGTCTTTCAGAGTTTTAACTACACAAGAGGTTTAACTAAAAAGAAAATAGAAACACTGGAGGAGAAACAATTCTAGCTTCAAAAAATGGTGTTACTTAAGTCATACAAACTTATAAGGTATTAATTACCCATTCTTATAGATGAGAAAACCAAGGTGTGGAAAGATTAAATGACTTGGCCATCCTATAGTTCTAAGTAGAGTTAGTTGAAGCTTATAATCTTAGTAATACATATAAACTTAAGCGTTTATTAAATAGTGCTGCTTATTTTCCAATGTTTTCCTGTGAGCTATGGAAAATAAAAACTGAGCTTTTAAACCAAATCTAGAGACTGGGGCACCTGGGTGGCTCAGTGGGTTAAGCCTCTGCCTTCGGCTCCAGTCATGATCTCAGGGTCCTGGGATCGAGCCCCCACGTCGGGCTCTCTGCTCAGCAGGAAACCTGCTTCCCTCCCTTTCTCTCTCTGCCTACTTGTGATCTCTCTCTCTGTCAAATGAATAAATAAAATCTTAAAAAAAAATCTAGAGACTAATCTACTTTCTTTTACCCCCTTTTTGTTACTGAATTATAGACATAATGGGAAGGGTGGGTAAAAATCATATGATAATTGACCTGTAAGACTATCAACAAATTCTGATCAATTTACTAGGTAAAAATTGTAGTGTAACAGCTAACATTTTTTAAATGCTTATAATATGTGAGGCATCAGGCTAAATCCTTTATATAGCTCTTCAATTCTCACAATAATCTCATGAGTTTGGTATAACTGCCCATTTACAGTTTGCAATAGGACTTAGATATAATAAAAGCAACTTACCAAGAATCTTACATCTGTTCAGTTGCAAGCTAAGTTATAGTACCAAAGCCCAGGTACCTTACCTACTACGCTTTAAGTTGTAGATAATACAGAGACTAAGAATCTTTCTCCCCTGTCTAACAAAGGAGTTACAGTGAATGAGTAGATAAGGCAAGTGTATGAATACCTATCCATGCTAGCTTGAATAAAACTAATGCCATAAGAATGTTTATCCCAACCATAGTACATACCCAAGCCCAAAACTTCAAGTCAAACGCTGAGGTTTAAATCAGCAAAACAAAACAAAAAACAGCTTTTGAAACGCACAAATATATGCATTTATTCATATTTCTAAAAAAATATCCTTTTGCTTCCACACGATCACGCTGAGCTAGTACCCGCGCCTGGAATCGGGTGGCAACCTCAGCTGCGCCTGCCGCCTGCCACTGCCTCCGGACCATGGACCCCCGCAAAGTGAGCGAGCTTCGGGCTTTCGTGAAAATGTGTAAGCAGGATCCGAGCGTTCTGCACACCGAGGAAATGCGTTTCCTGCAGGAGTGGGTGGAGAGCATGGGGGGTAAAATACCACCTGCCACTCATAAAACTAAATCAGAAGACAGTATCAAGGAAGAAAAACCAGATAGTAAGAAGGCGGAGGAAAACATAAAGACAGATGAACCATCAAGTGAGGAGAGTGATCTAGAAATTGACAATGAAGGTGTGATTGAACCAGATACCGATGCCCCTCAAGAAATGGGAGATGAAAATGTAGAGATAACCAAGGAAATGATGCAGGCAAATGATAAAAAAGTGGCTGCCATTGATGCCCTAAATGATGGTGAACTACAGAAAGCCATTGACTTGTTCACAGATGCCATCAAACTAAATCCTCGCTTGGCCATTCTGTATGCCAAGAGAGCCAGTGTCTTCATCAAATTACAGAAGCCAAATGCTGCCATTCGAGACTGTGACAGAGCTATTGAAATAAATCCCGATTTAGCTCAGCCTTATAAGTGGCGTGGGAAAGCACATAGACTTCTGGGCCATTGGGAAGAAGCAGCACATGATCTTGCCCTTGCTTGTAAACTGGATTATGATGAAGATGCTAGTGCAATGCTGAAAGAAGTTCAACCGAGGGCCCAGAAAATTGCTGAACATCGGAGAAAATATGAGCAAAAACGTGAAGAGCGAGAGATCAAAGAAAGAATAGAAAGGGTTAAGAAGGCTCGGGAAGAACATGAGAGAGCCCAGAGGGAGGAAGAAGCCAGACGACAATCAGGAGCTCAGTATGGCTCTTTCCCAGGTGGCTTTCCTGGGGGAATGCCTGGTAATTTTCCTGGAGGAATGCCTGGAATGGCAGGGGGGATGCCTGGAATGGCAGGAATGCCTTGGCTCAATGAAATTCTTAGTGATCCGGAAGTTCTTGCAGCCATGCAGGATCCAGAAGTTATGGTGGCCTTCCAGGATGTGGCCCAGAACCCAGCGAATATGTCAAAATATCAGAGCAACCCAAAGGTTATGAATCTCATCAGTAAATTATCAGCCAAATTTGGAGGTCAAGCATAATGCCCTTATGACAAATAAAGCCCTTGCTGAAGGAAAAGCAACTTCGATCACCTAATGGATGTCGCAATAATACAAATCAGTGTACCTCCGACCTTCTCATGAAGAAAGCTGGGGTGCTGTGAAGAGAATCCCTACCCCTCTGCTCCCCATGCAACTGAAACATTCTACAATTGTTGCCATTAGGGTATTCATTCAGATAATGTTTTCCTACTAGGAACTACAAACTTTAAACACTTTTTAAACCTTAAAAATATTTAAAAACATATTAAAAGGGTGTGTTAGTCCCTAAAAAAAAAAAAAAATCCTTTTATTATCAAAGGGTGTTTTGTTCCTCAAAGAGGGACACTGAAAAAATTCTGGCTACAAACAGATTATTATGCAGCATTCTATATGCTACGTATGGAGAATGCTTTCAAAATTCATTGATATAATTTTGATTCCTCTAATACCTATGGCAATAGACTATCTGTATTTTGTTCCTACTCAAAAGCCTTCAAGAACTCACTCTTGCCTACCATATTAGTTACCACTTCACCTAAGTATTCAAAGCCCTCCCTGTTGTATTTCCCAAGCCAACTAATCTCTTACAAATACCCTATGTTGCCATATTTCCCTGAACACCTCTTGTGCTTTTTTGCCTCTCTTCATGCTACTACCTCTGTTTAAAAAAATAAGTCCTCATGAAAAGAAGGGCCATGTTCATAGCAGCAATGGCCACAATCGCCAAACTGTGTAAAGAGCCCAGATGCCCTTCAACAGATGAATGGATAAAGAAGATATGGTCCATATATATAATGGAATATTATGGCTCCATCAGAAAATGGTTTTATTTTTGATTATGTTAACATTTAGTGACTGCAAAGTTATTAGAGTCCAGATGTTAATAGATGTATATGTATATGTTGATAAATACATACAAAAGTGTATCCCCTGTTGAATTTAATTGGCCAACATTTTATACATTTGTATAGAATTTTAAGTGATTTTAAGAAATATCAAAAGTATGTGGACACACACATAAACACATGTGTGAACATAGGCATGCACATGTGTGTGTTGTATGGACAGAAAGTATACCCTAGTGTGTTCCTCCTGTTTCTCAAAAAAAGGTTGGGTATAAATCTCAGCTCCTGAGAGACACTTCTTAGCAATCCTTTTTTTCTTATCAGTACAACATTTGTTCTGCCACTATGACCTTGGCACATTTATCAGATATTGTTTCTTACACAATATACCATCCACCCTTCAAGCACTTGCTAAATAAAACTAGATTAAAAGAAAGAAAAAGTCCTTAATTTGTGTCAACGTATTAACCATTTCTTCCTTTTCCCTGTAGTTTAAAGCCCATAGTAAGCGCCCCCTCCTTCAGGCGGTATGTATGTTCCTCTTCGTTTTCTCAATAAATTATGAATAGAGATTATAGCACTAATTATGCAACCTCTTAACCGTGTGATTTTATTTCTTCTCACAACTGAGAGCTCCCTCAAGACAGGTATTTATGTTGTATATTCCTAACCTAGTTATGTGAGGTTAAATAATTTATAATATAATAAAGGTATATATCTGTAATTCTATACTTGAGAGGGGTACGAAAGATTAAAAATTTAATGAAAATGATAACCTGAATTAGTAACAGATAAAATTACTTCTATCCTTTTCAAAGCATGTCATTTACTAATCAAAGATGTAATAAAAATTAATAGCTGCTAATTAAAAGCTTTATCTTAAACCCTAACTACCATTTTCCTACCACCCTTAGAAATTCCACCTTACTGTATACACCCTATATCCTACTGTGTACATATAGGAAAAGCAAGGCCTTCCCTCTGTATTTAGACTCTCAAAATTAATTCTAAACTTCTATAATTTGTTCTACTAATCTGTCTGATTTATAGAACAGTTATACCTTATTAGAAAAAGGTAGCCAACTAGTTCCTATATTATATTTTCTTCAGGATGAAATTTTTTTAAAGATTTTATTTATTCATTTGAGAGAGTGAGCAAGAGAGCACAAGCAGGGAGAGAAGCAGAGGGAAAGGGAGAAGCAGACTCCCTGAAGAGCAGGGGGAGAGGGGCTTGGTCCTGGGACTCTGGGATCATGACCCGATATGAAGGCAGATGCCCACCCAACTAAGCCACCCAGGTGCCCAAATTCAAAACAAATTTTAAAGAATTTACTACTATACCAGTGAGTCACAGCATACATTTTAAAATTCTAAGGTAAAAAATGGAAGAATTAACTTACCTTTACTTGTTCTTTAGGAGAATCGTTCTGTTTTACTCCAGTAAATTTAGGAAACATTTCTGCAAATGTATATAAAGAAATATTTCAATATTTACCAGCTTAAAAACTTACCATTTAAATTATAAATTATTTTCATATTAGAAATAAAATGGTCATTTCAAGAAAATACCTTTAATAGCAACCTCTTAAATCAAGAAATTCTTACAGTTAACCAGGTTTTTGACCTTTGATCCAGTCAAAATTCTAAAGAAATACTTGCTTTTTGAAAGGGATATTTTCTTTTCCACATAATGGAATCAATATCCACTCACAAATTCCAAATTGGATTATTTAGGCAAAAAGAACAGCATAGTAAAGAGTTTGAAAAATAGTTTAAAAAGGAACAAGTTATAACACAGATAAGGTTTTAAACAAGTAGGCTGAATTATAGTAAAACCTTTTTATCAAGCAGCCATAAATATAGCCATAAGGGACTTAATTAAATAATTAAGAATTTACTATAAGAGGAGGGTATGTCACTGATCTGACTGAGTCTTTTATGAAAAGTGAAGCTATTTGATTTCATGGCAAAATCTGCTCTGCTAAGAGCACTCTAGGAAAGACCCCAAATAATCCTTTATTTACTCTCTAGCTATTTGGCAGCCTCAATTATGTAGCAACAAATGGTTTTTATACTACCTTCTTTACCTTTAGAAATACCTTTACAGGGGACATTGGTGGGAGGATAGATACAAAAAGAGATCTCTGAAGCAGTGCTCATAGGTTCCTCTTTATCTTACAACTGATTCTGGTGCTTTCCTCCCCAATCATAAGCCTAGATCAATGTGGTAAAGCACCAAACCGGCAGTTAATGCCTTGACCCACCTTTCCAGGTAAGCATCCATGAGCCACCTAAGCATTATCTGCCTTGGGCTCCAGGGCACCACAGCCGGTTAACATAAAATCTTATTCAAACTTAAAACATTCTAATTTTAATAATTACCTTCTGTCTCCTGAAATGCCATCAGTTTCCACTGGATGTGTTACTGTTCTTTCCTCTCCTAAAATGTTTGATGCTGGACATTGTTAAAGCTGCTAAATGCCACTCAATTAAGTGCTTTAATTTAAAGAATTCGAGTATTTGAAATGACGAGAACCATCTTAATGTCACTCCTCTAAGTATTATTTAAGTGTTGGGGGTTAGGTGGAAGGGAAGAATACAGAGAGCAAAGACTGAGGCTATAGATCCAAGGAGCTTTCACATTTAGGGGATAAATTATGGTTTTGGCCTCGAACAAAAAAAACAGACTTCATTAATATGGTCATATGCTATATGCACATCTACACATCTTAACTATTCAAATATGCAGCTAAACTACATTATTCTATGATTTACATAAACTCTTAAGTATAAACTTAAAGTAAAATATGACATACCACATTAGTGTTCTACTAAAAAATTCAAGGGCATTATTTAGTTTTTTGATATATAAAGCTCAGAATTTTAAAAATTAGCATCTCCAAGTCTGAAGACACTAGCAAAAGGCATCAAAGAATTTTTAAATGAAAAAACCAGAATGGTAACTGTAGACTTATTGTAGTTATTATTTTGTAACGTATACAAATGCTGAATACTACGTTAAATACCTGAAGCTAATAGACTATCGTATGCCAATTATACTGCAATAAAAAAAGTCAAAACCACAATATAGTACGTTTCATAAAAGTCTTACAGACTATGGATAGATGTAATGACAGACTAAAACTCAGCAATCTGGTTCTCATTCTACTCTTACATACTTGACTTTTCAGGAATGTAGTTTATTTCTGTTTATTTATGAGTTCCTGGACTTTGCAATTAAAAGAACAACATACACATTTTCACTACCAAGCCTAAGACATCATTTCAATTAGTCAAGAAGCCCCAGGTCTTGAAAATATTAATGAAATTGAGCAGTATAGTGGTAACACATATACTGTCAACTAATTCTCCAGGGAACTGTGATGAAATGCATACATACCTACCTTAAGAAGACTGAATCAGATAATAAATGTGAACTACTAAACGAACACATATTATGCATGTTATGTAATATGTTCTATTTTCACATCTTTCCTTAAACCTCAATATAAAACTTGGATTGGAAAGTTTTCAGTTTAAACTTAAGGGAAAAAAATTTAATCATTTAGTTAAAAAAAAAGAGCTGGAATCAAACATTTCCTTCAAGAATTGGTTTAATACCCATTACCTATCAAAGCACTGAGATAAATGCTTGAGATAGCAAATATTATCAGCAAGATAGTATGGGCTAAAAAATTTAATACATTGAATATGAATGTAATACCATAGTGTAAAACCAGAATGTTATACCATATAATATAAGCAGAAAAAAATTACTGAAAATTTTTAAATTGGAAAAATAAATCACACTTCTGTTACATAGTACAGGGTTTAGATTGGTAATTGGAAGTCACTCCTGGGTTCCGCTACCATGTTTTATAAGAAAGAATGTCCAGAGACGTTAAATGATTTGCCCAAACTTATCACCAAAGATGTGTTGTAGTGATTAAAAAAAAAAAATCAAGGGGCGCCTGGGTGGCTTGGTGGGTTAAGCCTCTGCCTTCAGCTCAGGTCATGATCTCAGGGTCCTGGGATCGAGCCCCGCATCAGGCTCACTGCTCAGCAGGGAGCCTGCTTCCTCCTCTCTCTCTCTCTCTCTCTCTCTGCCTGCCTCTCTGCCTACTTGTGATCTCTCTCTGTCAAATAAATAAATGAAATCTTTTTTAAAAAAATCAAGCAATTTGTTTTTGAACTAAAAAATTTTGATTCCTTTAAAGACCACTTGGCAATTTTCATTGAAGAGTTTGGTACTTATTTTAATATAGAAGAACGATTCAATTATTTTTTTAAAGATTTTATTTATCTGAGAGAGAGTGAGAGAGCAAGAAGAGAGAGAGACCATGAGTTGGGGGGATGGAGAAGGGAGTAGAGGGAGAGAGAGCAGCACACTCCCCATGGGGCTCGATTCCAGGACCCTGGC